TTGTTTGTGGCTTAATTATACAATATGATACCTGCACAAACAGGTCATTTCAGGTGTCAATGTGGGTAAGAGTCGAAGAATCCTTAGGAAACACCCTGCTGGTTTGCCGCTGATCAGCCGTTTTGACGTCAACTTGAGAGTCGTGGCACTACCAGGTGAACACATGAGAGTCGGGGAAGTCAAATGCCCCGAAGTCCGCTTTTGTTTTTTTCTAAACACAAACAGACTTCAGAGGTTCGGGTGACTCAACATCCCAGCGAGTTTCGCCCTCGACACCGACGCCGTTTTCTTCGAACGACTCGGATGTCGGGTCCGATCCAGGCAGCTGCGCGCGCAGCTTCGCGGGCGATGAGGTCCAACTGAAGAATTTCATCCTGGGAGAGCCTTGGTGCGCACGGGTCAGATGTCCAAAAGGTATCTTGTCACTGGTGTATATGATTAGTTTGGAACTATGAACTGGGTAGAACTGGGTAGAAGGATAGAACTGGAAATTGGATCATTGAACATCATACATCATCATACACATGCTGATGGTATGGCTCGGTATGGGCCCCTTTCAGCACCTAATGATACCAAATGTCTGCCAGCTTTGAATCCCTGCAATTCTCGTGTTCGAAGTAACTTGAAGATCTTTGTATCCCCTTCTATGTTTTGGCCTGTTCGGGCAGGAGAGTATACACGCAGCATTAAGCACCGGGGGGCTTGTTTGTTAACTCTTGTCAGACACAGCCACCCACCGCGAGCATACTGCTCGAGTCTTCAGAGCCGCAGGGACTGGATGCGTTTTAAAGAGTCTTATAAAGAATATTCCTTCGTTCCTGGGCCCCAAACCCCTGATCTTCTCCGAAACCATCCCGCGCCCAAAACACACCCCACCGCTGACCTGCGGACCTGCGGACCCTGAGGACTTCTTTGTGGTGGAGCCGGACAGCAAGGTGCGACGACTTGACCGCCGTGGCACGGCGACCTGGGGTGGGTTCTCTTCCCACGCGGGTGAACTTGCAACCGATGGGATCCATGGGTTTCAATCATCCGAGTGTGAGTTCACGGGGCTCTATTTTGTTGTGGAGTTCACGTGCAGAGATTCTTTGAGTTTTTGCTTCGAAAGAAGACGCGGTGTCGACACGAGGACCACCAACTGATGGACCGTTTCGACGACGGATGACGGAGATGGATGGGGACGCAGGTCGGGTCCAAGGTTCATTGAGGTGAGGATTCTCAACTAAGAACTGACTATGTATACTTGATGGCATTTCCCTGGTGAGTGCCATGGCATATCAAAGGCGTTTTGCGAGTGCAAGTTGTGTGATTCTCTATACTAAAATAAGTACAACATAGTACAACAGGCCTCAACAGGCGATCCTTGCAGGCCTCTCTTAACTAGCACAAGGATTTGTTCCTGAACCTGCGTCACGCCCTTGAATCAGAACCTCCCCTCGACTCGCTCGCTGTGCCGTGTCCTTTGCGAATCGGACTCCACGGCGTGCCTACGACGACGCCGTCCGCTTCGACGACGCCTGACCGACGAGGTGCGCTTCGACGAGGAGATCGCACTCAAAGAGGATTACGCGCCTTGGGCCCGCGTTTGCGACGCCGTCGACGTCGCAGGGAACGCCATCGCCTGGTCTTCTCGCGATCGTCGCGTCCGTTGTGCGGTGTCGACGACGCCCTTGCGGTGCGGTCTGTCTTTGGGGCGTGGGGCGTTCTGTCTTTTGGAGCTTGGAGCGGTTTCAGTGCTTGAAGCCAGATCAAACTGGAGCAAATCCTAAAAAAGTCAGTGTTCAGACTATGGGCTTTAGTCTAGTTTTTCTTTTTTTATCTGGAAGATTCATGCGGGCGGTCCATGGCACAACAAGAGCGTGATACAGTCCTGTTGAGTGTGTTGGCAAGCGCAAGAGGTTGATGTAATGATCACTTCAGAGCCAGAAATCCAAAAAGGTGAACGGACATCAAGCAAGACCAAGAGGTTGAGTCCATCATCCATCATCCAGAGTCAGTCATCAACCAATGTATTTGAAGAACCAGCTGTGTTTTTCCAGCTCTTGGAGCTCCAAAGTATCAGAGAAAAGAGAAAACAAAGCACATCACTTTACTAGGCTCTTTTGGCATGCTCCATCAATCTTCCTTTTTATTTAGAGAAGAAGAAGAAGAAGAAGATGAAGATGAAGATAGAGAGAGAAAGAGAGAAAGAGAGAGAGAGAGAGGCAGAGAGAGGCAGAGAGAGACAGAGACAGAGACAGAAATGGACATGTTTGGGCTGAGACGAAGATCAGATCTCCTTTCGTTGATCTCCAGGTCCTCTGGACCGGAGGTGACCGGAGGACCCCAACGATCGCCTGAGGATTTTACCGCCAGCCACATTAAGGAGTACGGCTCGGCTCGGGGTCCCAGAAGCCTAGGGTGCCGAGAGGAGGCTTTGGTTCCAAGCAATGGCAAAACAATGTCAAACAAGCACAGATTTTGTGAATGGTTCCCAAACGATCAGTTTCATGGCTTCCAAGACATGTTGGACTGTACTTGTATTGAGCATGAGTACTCATTCTGAAGACTTGGCCACTTTTCGACCACCTGACGCTGCTGTCTTTACTGCGACACCTTTTTGCAGGTCATGCGTTGCCAGCGGATGACCTTGAGGGTGAAGCATTACTCCAACAGCGGTGGCGCCTGCAGCAACCGTGACAAGAAGGGCAAGGAGGACCACGGCGGCGACCAAAACAACACCGTCGCACCGTCCCACCGTCCCGCCCTGGGCCGATGAAGATCATTTCGAAGCGATGGATTCAATGGAGAGGGGATCGATTGTCCAACTCCTAGATCATAGAGCTCATAGAGTTGACGGATCTTTTTTTTTTGGGGGGGGGGGCAGGATCTGGCCAGGATCTCTTAGATGCTTGAGTTCTTTGAGTCAGACTTGATTCAACATTGGCTAAAACAACCCGTGGTGGCCCCTTTGTTTTGCATCCAGCAGCCGCTAAGCGGCTTGCCTGCAAACAGTTCAGATTTCGTGCACTGCAATGTATAGTATAGGGACCATGGTCATCGGTACTGGTACGTAGATAGGACCTATGGGACAATTCGTTCAACACCCAACAGACAGTTTGACAAGCAGTATATACCAGGACCATCCAAGAGGTGCCTATAAATATTATAAATAGCCTCTTAGAGGTAAAGGGGGTGTCCAAAAACCACCTGTTGGAAGGTGCTGGTAGGAACATGTTGGGATTGACCCGTATTTTAAAAAGCATTAAAAAAACTGTCTTGACTACATCAACATCCTGCTCGTATCCCCCCACGCGTGAACACACGCGTGTGGCGTGTGTCCTGTCCATCTCGCGACTGTGCTCGGGTCTCCAGGAGCAGCGGAACATCGGCATCCTCAAGAAGAAGTGGCCCCGGGCGATTCGGGACCACCCCACGCGTCAGAACGAGGTGGGGTACCGGCTGCGGCTGCAGCCCGGGAGTGGAAATGCACGGAACCCCCCCTGAAATTGCGAACAGACTTGGGACCCTCGGTACTTCACCCCTCTGGAGCCGTGGGGCGCCGAGCTGTCAAGCAGCCTGGCTCTGAGACCCATCGACCGAACGAGGCATCCTCCAGCTTCGGCGAAATCACTTCAGCATCACTTCAGCTCGTGGGATGAAGGATGGGATGAAGTTTCCCCCTCCAAGTGCAGATTTTGAGAAGGTGCCATGATTTTTCAAGCTACAGGACTCGTGGGACTGGAGCACTTTAAATGTCGGAAGATGTTTGGAAGAAACCCTTGGAGTCATTTTGGGGGATTCAATCCATGTTAAGACGCACCTCCCTTGTGAGAAGACAGCAGGAAGGAACTCATCAACCAGAATCAACCCGATTTACCTCTTCTATGTTCTCGGGTTCCCCCAGCAATCGGTTTGTGCTGCTTTATCCTCCATTCGAAAGCAGATTGATTGGAATATCGGAATAACATGGAATAACCAAAGGCGACTTAAAGTTTCAAACATCTGCAAGTTTACCGGCGGTGCTCCACCCTACACAGATCTGCACAGCATCCACATTCTTCCGTCACTTGCACTCTCACTTGCACGCCTCCTTTCGTCACGCCCACCGGTGGTCACGGTGCCAGGTGGTCCTTCAATGGCCCGCGGACAACGAGGCGGAGCGACCCATCAGGCGGACGAGCCGCCAGCATCGGATTTGTTCCTGATCGCACCCGACTCTACAGGTGTTTCCTGGTGACAAGTCCGGTGCCCAGAAACCACCTGTTAGGGTCTTGAAACAGCCTGTTGGAGGGTCCTGGTATAGGATCCTAATTTTTGGGGTACAACTTGGGATACGGCTGACATTGGATGGTTCTTCTTGCAGACCTTGGAAGGTGGGGGGTCTTCCAAAACCCCGGGCCCCGGGCCCTTTCTCAGTGGTGGTGGCCTTCGAAACCCTTCAGAACGGTGGTTTCCAGACATGAGGAACCTGAAATAGGATAGATAGGCTCGATCTGCTGGAGAAAGCTTGGGCAAAAGCTAAATATCAATTTGGGAGGACCATCCATGGTGAGATATTCCAAACTTGGAGCTTTTGCAGCAGGAGTTGCTTTTGTTGAACAATTGAGCTGTTCGTTTTGCTTTCTTTACGTTTGCCTGGCCCATGAGGTTCCGTTTCAGAGCAACATTTCTTGGCCCCGGTTCTTGCACACCTTCTCGTCTTGCTTCAGGGATTGCTTTAGGGTGGATGCATTCACTCCCAAACTAGACAGGTGTTTTCGACATACTTGTGTGGTGAGGCAGTGCTACAATCTGGAGATGGCTTTAAGACCCTGCTGGAACCCCACCACCCCACTCGATAAAACAACCATCCCTTTGCAACAACTCCTGCTTGATGTGCACCACATCCCCTTCACTTCCGCAGTCGATCTTCTCGGCGTGTGAGGAAGGCGCGTGGGAACGGGAAAGCACCGTGTGTGGATGGAAGATCGAGATTTGGAAGCTTGGATTAGGGGTTGGAAGCTGCCCTGAGACATGTTCCTCTATAGAAAAATCTTTGGTCGAGTGGCTTGTACAGTAGGAGACCAGCAATATGTGAGTCCGCTTGGAAATTCCTGACGCCGAAGAATTAGAACCAGAGCTTTCCAATCAACCACGCCCCATGATGGCAACATCTCGCGACAGACCACCCAACTCCTCATGCCAAGCCGCACACATTCAATCGAGATGGTCCATAGACCAACTCCCCGCGCAGCAATTTTGGCCCTTCGCATAGAGCTCCGTTCTCACTCATCGCTGGAACAGCAGCCATGTCCCGCAAGCCCATCGTCGGTGGCAATTGGAAGTGCAACCCAGCGAAGTTGGCAGATGCCAAGGCTTTGGTTGAGGCCTGGAAGGAGAAAGGCTTCGACAAGGAGAAGGCCCACCGCGCCGAAATCTTTGGGGCGATGACCGCGTGTTTTTTCGGTGGCGGTGGCTGGGTTCGGGCGTGGAAAAGCCTCAAGTGATGCAGAGCCAAGCATTCCAAAGACTTGGTTCAGGACTTCATGGGGAGAGAATCTGCCGCCGAGACCAAATGAGCAAAGTCATGCAAGTTGACATTTGTGCCTTTGGATGCCTTTGGCCAAACTCACACAGAGGATTCCTGTCTGGAGCTTTTTCAGGGCGTCCACTTCCCCAAGTCACGTATTGGGCCCCATCCAGACCCGAGGCTGGTTTGTCTTCGTTCCGCGCCAAGCGCCCAAGAGCCACGCAGCGCTCGCACCGCTGGCTCTGCTCGCTCCGCTCGCTCCACCTGCACACCGCGCAGGTGGATGTGGTGATCGCGCCGACGGCGTTACACTTGGGCCACGTGAAGACGCCCTTGGAGGGTCTCGGCATGGCGGTCTGCGCGCAGAACGCTCCTCGGTTTTGGGAAACTGCCACACCACGTGCCGCGCTGCGCCGGCGCCGCGCGTTCCGGCGCGGGAGAGGTGTGATGTTTCTGGGAGCGTCCAAGCGTCCAAAAGGATGCTTTGAGGAGAAAGCTTGACCGAGTGTTTCTAATATGTTTGGTGCATCCGCTTCAAGAGCTTGGGGGGTTTGGTGGGTGGTGTTTCTGTATGTGTACGTGTGGACCAAACAACACAAGTTGCCAAGTTGCGGTTTGCGGATTGACATGACATGCACACCACATGCTTTCTTCACAGTTCTCATCGATCTACAGAAGATGATGACTTATTGGGTCAGACTTTTGGCTCCCTCAAGCCATGTGAAGCCATCTCGGTCCAGCCTATGGTCCACCCTATAAAAGAAGATGTGCCATGCATCTGAATCAGTGTTTTGTTTTTCTCGATCAAATCACCACCCGGATCCACGTCACTCTCGGTTTCACAAAAAAAAAGCACGACGGCGGCAGTTCGGCGCCTATGCTCGGCGCTTGGTCAAGGTGGGCAAGAATGACATGGGCGCCTTCACCGGTGAGTGGACCGCAGCACACCTGCAGGTTCCCCGGTTCGATGCTGCTGCTAAATCGATGCTGCTTTTATTCGCGCAGTGATGAGGGATGTATTGAAAGAAAAGATCGTTTTCTTGAAGTCACAGTCACACTCACACGGTCACTTAGACTGGTGAAGTCACAAGTCTTTAAAAGGTTCCTGTTGACGAGATCTCTATGAGTCATAATAGTATTACTTTGTTCATTTACATGTTGCGAAATCACCACGAAGTGACGATGAGTTGCCAGTGGTATCTGTCTTTGTCAGCCATGGATCGTCAGAATTGCCTAGAGGAGATATACCCCAAGTGCACCATCAATATTATAAGGTGACCCTTCTAATGATGATTTCCGAGAGCCGGACATCCTTGATTCCAAGAGTCCAAGCCTAACCGCTTTCAGCCAACCGCTTTCAGGACATGGAGGTGGGCTACACCCTCATTGGCCATTCCGAGCGCCGTAGTCCTCCGGCCTTTTCGCAGCGGAGCGCTGACCGTGGAAGAACTGGAGGATTTGGTCCGGTGTAGACTCTAGATAGACTCTAGATCTTCCAACGAATTGATGCCTTTTCATCTATAAACTATAGCCAAAAGGATCCAAAAGGCTTGAATTCTGCACGGAGAGGGAGAGATCTAATAGGTCTTCTGGGGAGATAGAAGCCGGGAGACCCCTGAGACCGTTGGCAAGACCGTGGTGTGGCCTCACTTACCGCGCGTTTCACCATGCGCGACCCGTTGGGATCTCGCAAGCTCCTGACTCGAAGATGAACATCCTTCTGGAAAACTAAACCAAGAATTCCAGATTTGAATTGATCATATGTTGACCCTGCAACATGCTCTGGTTAGGTGAATATTTGCCCTACTACATTCACCAACAAAACCATCCAAATGCAGGCATCGTTTTGCTTAGAAGGAGTGTTTGTGCTTTCCATGCCCCGAAAGTGGCCCCGAGCTGGCTCGCTCGCGCACGGGTGTGCGCGAACGCGCGAGGGCGCCCAGGTAAGTACGGCGAGACGGATGAGGACACGGCACTCAAGGTGGAGAAATGCCAGGAAGCGGGCCTCAAGGCAAACCTGGTCGAAGAAACACTCCCGGAGCAGACGGTTTGGGATGTTGTGGGGTGGGATGTTGTGGGAAAGGGAGTGAAAGTCCGGTGGGGCAAAGGAAGAAGGTGCATGTGAAGCTGTGTGTGGAATCCCGTGCAGAGATGTGCAGAGATATGGGTCACAAATGGGCTGAAGGTTGGTAGTTGTTCCATGTTATTCCATACATGGCTTGATAGAATTGATGGATAGTCACTATGGTGGCTCTAGGGTCCTGAGTTATCTAGGGTTCCAATCCAAAACTACACAGCAACCACATTCCCTCTCAAAACTTCTTCACCTGCAGGGGGACTTCGATGGCCCCCAAACATGCCCTGCAACCCCCTTTTCCAACGCCTGCCAGTCCATTAAAAGAGCCTCCTTCCACAGGTATTTGTTCCCCGTTCTTGTTCCTTCCTTCCGCCCTGCGGCGGCGTGGCGAAGCTGCGGCGTGCCGACGCTTGCGGCGTTCATGCAGGTCATCTTCTGCATCGGCGAGCTGTTGGAAGAGCGCGAGTCCGGCAAGACCGACGAGGCGGCGACCGAACTCGTTTCGGTTCGGTGGGACGACCCGGTGGCCTGGGGCCAGCCAGTCGGGTCTAGTCATACCGTACCCTGAGGAAGGGGGTCGGTATAGGGAAGAAGCGGGCAAGAGATGGGTGAAGGGAAGCGGAGAAGTTCACCGAATTGGACTGTGGTAAAGGATTAAAGGATGGATGGGAAAAGGGAAGGAATGGGAAGAAGCATGGCCGGGGATCATGCCTGCGGATGGATGGATGGATGGATGGATGGATGGTTGTTATTGAAGATGATGCCGAATGGTTTTGCTCTGGTTGACGAAGCGGCCCACCCATTACCAAGAAGACATGTGGCTATGGGGCAAAACCCGAATCCCTAGTCCCTGCTAGGTTGACCTCCCAGGTAGTCTATTCTGTTCATTTTGGTTGGTCAACCAAGCCATGTTTCCTTCGCAGTACTGAGTGGACAATACCGGGCAGTGCAGGTGAACAAGCGCCAGCTGGCAGCGATCATCCCCAAGGTGAAAAACTGGGACTTGATTGTGCCTTGGCCCAATGCCAGCAGTGCCCGAACCGTACACGGGGGCCAAGCCTGCGGCCCAAACGCAGTGGGGAGAGCTGAGTTGGACCTGAAAAACGGCGCGTTTTGGGATCTGAGTCCTGTAAAATGGGAGCACGGAGCAAGCACTGGTCTCGACTTTTGGGTTTGGATGCCTTGGGTTTTCAATTTCGCCTCCAGTCCATTGTCCATGAACGATTGACCGATCCATTTGGAGATCCTGGGGTTGTGGAGATGAGAGTTTTTGGGTGCAAGTTCCAAGTGGGGATTGGCCTAGTGATTGGCCTTTGTTGGACACGTATGGGTCAACAACTGGAGCCTGGAGATTCCCTATAGTATTCAAAGTCGCTGTCCTATAATGGTTGAAGTGTCAATCAAGTTCTTCAAAGCACGACCATGGACGACCTATTAAATTCTGGGGACCTTTTACATTCTCCATGGCCACCCCTCCATGGTCACCATCCCACCACACTGCGACTTCCTCTTGACCATGCCACCCCCAAAAAATGAAGAAAACCCAACACAAAAAAAGAAAGGAACAGCACCAGACCCTTGCGGAAGCAGTTCAACTAACCCGTTCCGTCCTCGTGCGGACCTGGCCATATATATATATATATATGCATGACTTCAGAGTCGGACGAGTCTTTGGTCTGGAGGTCTGGTTTGGACGGTGTGGTGTGGATCGCGGCAAACTAGGGCTTCATGAGCGGTTATTTACAGCTGCTCAGTTGCTATAGGGATGTGGGTGATCAGTGATCATGAAGAATCATGGATCTGAGAGTATGATCAAGTGATATCAGATATCAAGGGTCTCAGCACCGATCGCTCACCTCTTCTCTCGTCTCAGGTCATCGCCTACGAACCGGTCTGGGCCATCGGCACCGGCAAGGTGGCGACCCCCGACCAGGCCGAGGAAACCCAGGCGGCGATCCGCGCCTATTTGCCCCTCGGCCGGAGGGCGGGCGGAGGGCGGGCGCGCGCCTGGCGCGCCTGGCGCGAGCGACGAGAGACTGGGTGAGGTGAGGTGCCTCGCCGATCTTCGGGGTGGGTGTGTTTTCCAAAAGCGACCGAGGGGACGGGGACAGGGAGGTGTCCCAGATTGGGGTTGTAGGCCTAGGTCGCCTAGGTATAGGTCCAGGGCGGCGGCTGGGGGGGGGAAGGGACGACGGATTTGGTTGAAGTGAAGGATTGAAGGATCACATGATCCCTCCCTGGTCGCTTCGAAGTGAGCGCCAGTTGTTCTTGGAAAGTGTTTGGCCCAACGCGCAGGGCCACCGGGCGGGTTGGAGTTGGCCGCTGCGTTTGTGTCACTCGTTGGCCGCTCGCCTCAGGAAGGAGGCGGTGAGCGCGGAGGTCGCGGACAAGGTACGGATCCAGCCACTGAGGCTGAATGAGTGGAGTCCAAGGTCGCCGTGCACGCGCCGTCGGACCGATGCGTCGAGAGCGCGAGCTGTGACGATATGTAGTGGTTTGGCAGTTGCAAGAATTCGTCAAATTGGTTGGCTCAAACTGCTCCCAGATGGCAACTGATTCTTCTTGACAGTCACACCTTTTTCTCTGCATGGATACCTTTGTGTTCAAGATCCCCCTAGGTGCTGGGCTCCCTGGCGTGTCAACGGTTAGAACAAGTCGAGAAGAACCTGCCGTCCCAGACCTCGAGCTGGGCAGATGTGTTTTGACCATCCAGATCCATCCAGGGGTTCGTTGTGGATCTATAGATGGACACCCCGACTGAAACCCGACACCGAAACACCAAAGCACTCCGACATACTCCGACGTGGAACCGCTGGTGTGAAGGACAAGCTGCTGGCTTTGGGTCTGACAAACATGGAGTCGCATTGGTTCGATTGGTTGACCAGGTGTGTGTGACTGGCACCAATGACTGAGAACTACCCGACTCGGCGGAAGACGCCGATCAAAAAACGTCCTGGTTTCTTTGAGGGTGATGGTCCTGGTGATTTGCCATGTTTGACCCTTTGACAAAGGCAAGAATCCTACTTAATTGGAATCATGGACCTGTAGACAAACGTGTCCCCAAGTGATGCTAAGACAAATATGAGGTTTTTGTAATGCACAGACCATTTGGGGAGCTTATGACACCTGCAGACGCCCTCAACAAGCAACCTATGAAAGAAACATCATAGATGCAACCAGGCATAAAGCAAGTTGTCACTAGTAGCCAACATCACCTTCAGGACCTGTGAAGTTCCTTTCTTAGCAATGCCTTTACAGCAGCAGTTCCCACCAGCTCCTTTCCACGGCAGTAACCCCGCATTTCCCAAGAAGCAACACCACAGAAATATAGAATACTCTCAGTGTTCATGCCTTCCTCCTCCCCCCCCAGAAAAGACATGGGCCGCGTGTTCGGAAGCGCCGGGCTCGTTGAATCCGCCTCCTCTTCGGGTCCTCCTCTTCCGAACGTGTCCGGAACGTGTCCGTTCGCCCGGCCTTCGGTTCACGAACGCAGCGGCGCCGGCTCGCTCGCTCGCTCGGTGCGGCCGGAAGCGGAACGTGCCGAGGTACGGCGGCAGCGTGACGCCCGAGAACTGCAAGGAGCTCATCACGAAGCCGAACATCGATGGCTTCTTGGTGGGTGCCACGGCGAAGAGCAGAAAACCGGGCGACGGGCGGACGGACTGAGGCCTGGGAGGACGGAAGCGAGGTGAAGAACGCATAAAGAGGAAAGAAAAGGGGGTGAAGACTGGGGTGGAGGTGTTGAGGTGGAGAGGTGGGTGATTCAGGTGGAGATGGGTGTTTGTGAGGTTGGGTGAGAAGTGATGACAATGAGACTGATGAGACACAGACCTGTTCCCTTCTTGGAACCTCATTTTCGGGACATCGAGATCGGATGACCTGGGGGATTCGGGGGGGGGGGAAATCCCGGGGGGACGGAGGACAGCAGAGAGCAGTGGCGATGTCGTTCTTTAAACATGTTGCAAAGGTGTGCAGGAGTTCCTCATCCTATACTGTAGCCGATAGCTATTAGGGGCTCCTGGCCTTACTACTAGGAGCAAGGACGCTACTAGGGGCTCCTGGCATCGCTACTAGGAACAAGAAGCTATTATTGGCATTGGCTGTTGCTGGTTGTTTTTTGGATCACCATGCTGTAGACCTTTCTTTGGGAGGGCTCAGGCAATCCCCTATATGTCAAACAGCAGACTCCTTCAAAGCGCAAGTGGTCTTTTGGATATCACAAGTGTGACTTTGCTGCTGTCACAGGCCTAAGGTCTTTTTGAGGCTTCTTAATTCCTGGCAGTTCCTACACGTGTTTCCCATTCTTGAAGGAGCTTGTCAGATTCCTTCCGTCCGCATCAGCATGAAGAAGCGGTTCGATTCCAAGTCGGTAGAACAGTGTTGGGGAAACATCATCTGTGTTGGAAGAAGAACTAGCATAGGAACTCTTCCACGTGTTGGGGAACTCTTCATTTGTGTCGAGGAACTCTTCCTCTATACTCGGCCGACTCCATTTCACTCTCTGATGTCCAGCTGTTTTCCACCTGCTGGCATGCAGAATTCCCGGTGGAACAGATGTTGAAATTCTAGACTACATGAGATCTGGCCAGTTCGCATGATCCAGATCCTCAGGTGGTGCCTCTTTGAAGCCTTCATTCATGGAAATCGTCACCGCTGTCCAGGGATGAGTAGCTGCTGACACGCAGAGATCATCCTCCCGAGACATGCAAAAGACCGGGAGCTCGCGAGATGCTCGCTGTCTTGTGCTTCGGCCAAGCCGGAGCGCGCGTTCAAGCGCTGACGTCTCTTTTCGCACCAGTGTCAACGGCGATTTCACATGAACACAATGTAGTCTCATGCCACATCCCACTGTTGTTGAGATGATTGAAACATATCCTGCCGTTGATCCTTGTGTGCCGCAAAAAGTAAACTGGCCTTTCTGGCCTGGAGTTCTTCAGAAAGTGAACAAAACGCTTGCGACTGGGTATGAGGTCCATTTTCAGTTGTAGTTATTTGTCTTTGTCACGACATGTAAGATTAGCACACAACGGCATATAAATATAAATAGCTAGAGAGCTGGCACAGAGTAGGTGGCACATGTCTTAGCTTATAACTACATAGCATAATAAAATATACAGTAGTAATATAGATGGCTTAAATCTTCATGGCCTGGAGCTGTATGGAGCTGTGCCATCTACTTTGCAAATCATGAACTCCTAGAACTGCAACGTTAGGATCTACAAACACCAAAACCAACAACAGAGAGCATGCTTCAAACAGCTACTCCAAGTTTCACCCAACGGCCAACACCAGCTGCATGAGTTGCTTCATGTTGTTTCCTCCTGAACTTCAAGGTGTTTCACCACGTGTGAAACCCGCCAACCCCCCCCGAAAGTCACTTCATCGCCCCCGCAATTCGAGCCCGTGTTCATCGCCTGCACCGGAGGTGGCCCTCAAGAAGGCGCCGAAAGCGAAGGCCATGAAGGCCATGAAGGCGATGAAGGCGATGAAGCATTCAAAATCCGAGGTGTTTCAAGTTGAAATCTATATCTTCAAACATCTACAATCAAAACAGCTGTCAGGAGGACGCTCGACTCACAACCCCTCTGCACGGTCGTTAGACCTAAGGTTTTGCCCGTCTGGATGAATGAGCGTTCCCAGGGCGAATTTTCCTCGATCGGTCCATCTTCCCATTGGATCAGAGCTCTGCACAACAGTCCTGTGCCGAAAAACCCTCAGGCCGCCCGTGCCGCCGTGCCCCACAAGAGAGGTGCCAAGACCGCAGATCAGGTGGGATCCAGAGATCAAACGGCAGATGGGAAAGAAAAACGCAGATCCAGGGAGTTTGAGGTAGTTGGATGGCATCCACTAAACACCCAATCATGGGATGTTCGCCGAAGTTTGCTGAAAACCTTCCAACTGAGTGTTCGAACTGAAACCCAAGATCCGTGGCTTTCTTCGAACTGCAGTGGCTTTCTTCGAACCGCCGGCCCGCATTTGACCAGGTCTTGGGGCTGGATGATCGGACCACACCCCAATTCTCCTACAGCCTGAGAGGATGGAATGTAAGGTCCATGAGAACCATAAGCGCCACAAGACGGTGAAGTCCCATGCTACAAGACCCTGAGGTGTTGCACATCGCGTGGAGAGTGTTTGATATTTGAACTTCAGCGTTTAAAACGCACGATTCGACACAGTACCTTCTTCCACATCCTCACCCAGTCACCGACAGCCCGAGATCAATGCCTATATATACAAGAATATAGATACTTTGTACAGTACATCATTGTACTGATCTGTTTGATCATACTCGACGCTTTTTGGCAGGTGGAGCTCCCCTGCAGTCCCAATGCCACGATGCTGCCAACCGGCAAGGCGCGCCGTGGCGCGCCGCTGGGGGATCATGGTGAAAGGTGATCGGTTCGGGGAAGCCAGGGGATCCAGGAAAAACGATGAAACAAAACAGTTTGCTCTTTGTGTGGTATTGTAAATCCCGGTGGAATCACGTACTATGAACCTCGGATTCCCTGGATTACTTAGAGAAACTAAGCAAAACATATCAACAAACAGAAATGGAAAGAGACTTTCTTTCATGACTGTCACCCATCACCTTGGAAATCCACTCTGAAGTACACTCAATGTCAGACACCGTCACTTTGTTCTTCATTCAGCAGTGCCACTTCAGGCGACAGGAAAGCTGGATATGTGGACTCAAATTCTATGTCATGGATTCATATCCTGAATTTTGCAAAAGAATCCACTC